GCATTGTTGTGTTGGTACAACAATGCCGAGTAAACAAATATAACGTAACATTGTTTGATGACGTCATTTTTTGACGACAAATTGGTTGACGATGACGAAATCACAAATTTTTATAGTAGATACGGTTTTTTTATATCTGTGTTTAATTCGGAAATATAAATAAATCTCGTACCCCTCACTTCAATGAAGCGTGGCTATGCAATGAAGAGTTCTCGGACTGGCTCTCAAAATAAGACAAAACAGAACGATGTAAAGAATACTGCTTATCATAATTAGTATCGACTTGTCGTGGTGCAAAAACACCATATTTCCCAAGATTGGAAATTCACGGTTGTCGCGTTTTAAGTTTACGGATTCTAAATTAGGATCCATAATGTATGTATCTAATAATCTCCAATATGGTTTTTTATTACAAATCAGAACAATAACTTTGCGTGTTTCAAAATGACTAAAGAATCTTATCTTTCCAGTGCTTTGGAAACGGAGAAAAATTGTTCTGGTTTCGAATTCAAAATTTGAAAATACGATACAGAAATACTTAAGAAGGAGGAGGTGAGAACAATGCCTGGTTTTGGCGTAGGTAAAAGTTGGAAACCCTGTGCTAAATAAACTAAGACTGAATATAATGAATATAAGAAAAATACCATGCCCGTGTGTGCGTCGCTTTTGAATAGTATGATCTATTTTAATGAAACTTGGTATAGTGTACAGTAGATTATGTGTTACCTGTGAGCGCATTAACTGGGTTGTGAATTGACCGAGGTGTATGTGATTTAAGCGAAAAATAAAAATTAGTTAAGGCAATTTGTTGTAAATGTTTAAACTTTCAAAACGAAAGGAATGAATACAAGAATTACATTATTTAACGTATTATGACAAATTATTTGTTAGTAGAACCTGACTTTTACGGCAATAGAACGTTATCATCCCCTGGAATCATTTTTTAAAAATAGTTGGTATGTACAGCATTAAATTTTATATAAAATATTTTGTTATTTGTAAATCTTTAAACATTCAAGCAGTTGATGTCTATAAATAAACTTACTTATTTGTTACATTTGCGTGCTTTCTTTTTTCCCCGGGTTATCCAAGTTTTTGGTTGTAAGGGAAAATACAGTAAAACCTATCTAAGTTGGACACTTGGGGTTCCACGTTCTAAAGTTAATTCCACCAATTTTCGCTTCCCCGTCGCAAAAAGAAAAATTCCATTTCTGTTAACACAGTCTGAACCCAAATGCAAGCACAGTCTGTGTCTTCTGCAATACTGTAGTCCAGTTAAGGGTTCAGCAAAAGAATAGTTAAACACGTGCAATGCATTCCAGTGATGGCTTCAATGTCCATAAGATAATCCTCCAAAGACGAGGCATTCATCAGTCAGAAACTGAAAATAACAAAATTTGTAACTGAAAAAGTTTCCCTGAAAACATCGAAGTCAAGTGCATGAACCTGTCAAACTTAACAACAAAAGGGGTGTCCAAGATATAGGGTATTGTGGACATGTAAAATTATAGGATATTTGCCTGTTCCAATTAAAAGTGTCCATTATAAAGGGGTGTCCAGGATATAGTGGTGTCCAACTTGTGGGGTTTTACTGTATATTTCCCAACCAAGCCGAATAATCACCTGATGGTTTTCTCGCCATGTTTTAACTCCTTTTCATTAATGACAATATGCAGGTCATGGCAGAGGGGCAGAGTTTGTCTCGGGAGAGCTTAATGTTAACAAAGGGGTTGGTTGTAAATGAATGATACATTTTACTCATGCAGTCGAATTAAGGAATGTAGAAAAATATTTGTATAAAATCAGATATAACTGCGAAAATAAAATTTCAGGTGAAAGGCATAAAATTTCGTTCCTTGTGGAGTCTGGATTTTCTGCTTGTAATTCTTCCTGAATGCATTTCATCTGTTTTAGACCATTCTAAATAGGAAACTATTAGACAAATGTTTGCCTTTGCGAATCTTACCAGAGCTTTAGTTTGAACACTTTTTAAACAGACTGATTAGTTAATAAGTTTTATTTTCTGGTCTTTGAAGTCGCTGTGCCTCTGACCATGTAGACTCGCAGATAGATACAGTCGTTTCGGTAAACGTACTCTATCCATCTTCAGGGCTGATGTCTACACAGCATCACAGCCCAGAATAATATCGTCATATTTACGACTGTGAGGAACTCATATCTCGTACAGTTAACAGATTTGTTTCTGGCGTAAAATACAAATCTTTCGAGAGTAAAGAAACTCCTATTTGAGACATTTTAAATGTGACGAATATTTAATTAAGTACAAGACAACATAAATTCTGACTGTTTGGTGTACTTCGTTTTGCAAGAATACGTTTGTAACTGAAATTAATATTTAGACCAGGGTGGTCCAACCTTTTTCCTTGCTCGGGCCAGAATAGTTTTCCTGTTGTACCCAAGGGCCAAGAAACCCCTAATGTCACTATTTTTGCATTTTCGTTATCTTTAATAATACTTATTCAGAAATGACAAATTACCGTTACATATGCTGAAATATAAATTTTATTTAAATGTGCACAAACTAGTATAGAGTTGTATATTATTTTAAAATTTCTGCTGCAACAGCTTCTCACAATTTTTACCTGAAAAACTTATACAAATTTCTTGAATTCCGGTACTTTAAGAGTTTGTATCTGATACGGTAACAATTTGTACCAGTAGAACGTACATCTTATGCTTTTAAAGTCAATGGCTTTAGTGAGATCACTGAGCAGAATGTTCTTTTACCAGTGACGGAATATCATCTTCTGTTTTTGTTGTTGATCGTAACACATCCTCAGATAACTTGTTCCTCTGCTTCGTTTTTAACATCTTCATGGTGGAGAAAAACAGCAGACGAGATGGGATTCACAATTTTTTTCAAATCCTCAGGAGTAAATGGGTTTGTGCTATTCATTTTTACCTTATTACATTTTGTCTTCTATACTCGTTCTTTCAAGTTCAGTAATATTTAAAAATATTTTAAATTATTTACGTTACAGGCCAATGTTAAACCACTATCACTTCAAAATATACCCTCACTCCAATGAATTTGGATGTAAACATCAGCAGAAGTTACACAACAACAGTAATTAAGTTTTAGTTTATAAGATTATAATTTTTAACTTTTAACTTTACACCTGAAGATGGTTCAATGTAACCGAAACATGTAGTAAAAAGATGTACCAAATATGTAAATGATATTTTAATATCTTATGTATAATTTTATTTATATACAATTGTGATTAGACGGAAAAAACACGAATAATTAAGTAGTAAGAAATTAACAAAGACTTTCGTGGGCCGCCAGTTGGACCACCCTGATTTAGACTAATGAATTGTGTCAAATGTCAAACAATAAATGCGTTTCGAAAATATCCATACACGTCCGAGTACTTCATTCCACGCTTACAGTTTGTTTTACCATTTTCCCTTGTTTTGGAAAAGCTGAATCCAGTGCAATGTCCTTGCACTGCTATAAATCCTTGTCCAAGCACCTTCGTTAAAGGATTATATGACCATCATTAGGGTATGTATGGTGAGCTGTCAGATGCTTATGGGCGGGGCCCTGTTTGTTGGATGACACGGGTCACTGTCTGTGTAATACTTCTTTCTAGGAAGAGATGTTTATCGTTGTACTAAACTCATGAAATCAGTGCTGGGTTAAAAGTCGCTATGTGGGTATATCTGAAGCAACTGATAAGGCTACTCGACTTTATTTACTGTATCAACGTCATAGCGATAACATTACTTTATCGAGGAGGCCTATAGAGTGGGTAAAAGTTATTATCACTACTCTATAGGCTATTCCAACTAAGATGAGAGAGGCGGTCAAAACAAATTCCCCTCTCCTCCCACTCATTTTGAAACACGTGGTAGCAATGTTATTGTCTGTCCTGCATACATGTGCAGCTATCATTCTGGTACTTTCTCTATTACTGTAATGCTCTATGCCTACTACATTAAAATATAATGTAACTTTATATTATGCAAACCAGTCACCAAGCCTCGCGAATAAATAAACTCTTACTTGATAACCGTGGCTTTACAAAAATTATTGTTACAAGTCACAGAACTCACGGGTGGCTGTTCAACGCGCTGTTCCAATAGATACGCACCCGCCCCAAATCGTTTGTACAGAAATAACTTAAGCAGCATGTATAACTGTAACATTTAACACTTTATGTAAT